GGCCGGCGGCGCGGGGGCGGGGCCGCTGGGGCTGGCGGCGGGCGGCTGAGGGGCGGCCTCGCGCTGTGTGACGGAGCGCTCCCTCTCCGCCAGCTGCCAACCGGGGATTCGCAAAAGGCCAGGGGGGATTGTCAGAGACCAAACCAAGGAGACATTGAGGGGCTCAGCTCCAGACGGGCTGTATCAGGCCGGGGGCGGCCTCACAGCCGCAGCCTGACGCGTGCCCGCGCGCCGCCGGCTGCCCTGCGTTTCAAGGCACACGCAAAGGCCACTGACCCTCCCCCACCGCGCCTGCAAGACCCCTGCATACTGCCTGTGCACGAGACCGCCTGCCAAACAATTGGCCAAACAGCACCATCGGCCCACACTCCCCGCGCCTGCCAGCCGGCGCCCGGCCCCGGGCCCCAGCGCTTCGGGGCCCGCCGCTCCCCGCGCACCTCAGCTTCCCGCGCCTCCAGCTTCCACTTAGCTTCCGCAAGCTTGTCCAGCTGCGCCCTCAGCTGCTTATAGTCCTGCTCTGTGGAGTCTGCAGCCTCCTGGATCTGCTCCATCTGTTGGTTGCAGCGGTTGGATCAAGCGTTGAGAGATAAGAATTACAGCTGTCAGGTAGTAAAAGGTGCCAAGAAGTTGCATAGTCGGGTCGGCGGGCCCAGAGCTGCTGCGAAACCAACGGCTTGCCTACGCCCGGCCAAGAACAACGCCGACGCAGGGGTTGTCGAGCTGCGGTTGGGCCGCCACTCAGCTTCCAAGGTCTGAGGGGCCCCTGCCGTCGCGTGTGTGCGCGGTGCCACACGTGGCCCGTCGTCCGACCTTGCACTGTTACTGCAATCAGACAAAGTACGTCGATCCGGCAGCTGGGGGGGCGCACCTCGACCTGCAGGTCCGCCAGCTCGTTCTCCAGCTGCTGGGCGCGCAGCTTCTCCGCCTCCAGCTGCTCCTCCAGGTCCTTGGACAGCCCCTCAAAGTGCTGTGGGTGCGGCGCGACGCGGTAACGAATACATGACATATACTACTTATTCATAGACTGTCAACATATGCTTTGACATTGCTGGTCAAGAGTTTATGCATGTTTTTATGGGGCAAACGGCGATGGCGGATTGTTCCCAGCGCAGCAAGCCTGACCGTTTACCATCTGCACGCAGGCACGCGAGGGCGGCAAGGCGCAGCGCTGCGCCCGGACGCCGCTGGGCCTCCGCGCCCGGCGTGCGCAACGCGCGGCGCCGGCAGCGGCCCACACCCACGTTTGCTTTGTGCTCGGCCTCCACCATCAGGGTCATCCGCTCGGACTGCGGTTTGAGGGCGGGGGCGACGTGACGACGGTGATGACGTCATGCGGCACCCAACCGGCTGTTTTCAGCGCCGGCAGCTGCGGGCGGCGCTCGTGAGCGCTCAGGGCGCCCCTAAAACCCGTCATGGAACAAAGCTATGCAGCATTAGCAATCAACTAGTGCCGGTCCAGGCGCGCGCGTGCCTATGCGGGCACAGGTAGACAGCACCAAGGGGCAGCTGCGGCTGCGTCCCTGGTCCCAAGTGGACGCCAGGCTCAAATGCGGTACACGCTCATGCTGACCTGGTTGATGGCCTTGCGCTCCACCACCGCCATCTCAGTTGCAAGCTCAAGAGAGCGCTGCTCGGCCTTTGCCGCGCGCGCCTGCGGCGGCGGGGGGGCGGGAAGGGGCGGGGA